TTCCGCTCAAAAATATTTTTAAATATACTCAAACAAAAAATTTTTTGCTCGACGCAAATAGCCCTAGCTACACGCAAAATCGCTCTTGGACGATGTAAAATTCACATCGCCCGACGCATTATCGCAAGGCCTGCATTAGCAATTACTTTAAAAGAAACTATGCTAAACATTGTTTCTTCAAAAACTTGCTTTTTTAATTTTCTTATTATTGTTAAATTAAAATGTTTGCTTGTCCTTTTTAAAGTTTTGGATTTGCAAAAATATATTTAATTGAATAAAATTAAATAAATTTGCAAAAATATATTTAATTAAATAAACTATATAGAACTATGTTTATTATAGTTTTCATTTTTCACTGTGGGTTTAACAACACCAATAATATGATACTTTATTAGTAATATAAATACTTAATATAATAACTTTTTAAATACTTAATAACTTTTATTTTACTTTTAGTTCCCTTTTATTTAAATTTCTTCAAGTTTATACATTTTTTTAAATGTAAATAAATTTATCAAACTAAATTGAGATTTTGTATTAAATGATGACAGTTGACAGCCGTAAAGTTATTGCATATTAGTAATCATTAATTTGCATGCACTTTGCAAATGCATGAAAAATTGTTTTGGATTGATGAAAAATGGATAAAATTTAATAAGCATCTTTGATTTATCTAATTATTATATATCTTATTAACTAGAATAAAGGTTATTTGAAAATAAAGCTCCTTTATAATTTAATAAAAAATTATTTGAATAAATAAAAATTAAAATTTAAAAAATTAAAAATAAAAGGGCTTTTAGAAAAAAAGTGAGGAGAAGCCATGTATGCATTATTAGTTAATCCCTAAGTGCTAATTTATTCCATCTCCTTTTTAAAATGTTGAGAGAAAATATTATATGATCTTATAAAGGTAACAACTATTTATGCAATAAATTTTAAATTTTAATAATAATTATTGAAAATATTATAATAATGCATACATGCAGCCAGATGATTGTTTATTTAGTAACTTTCTTTGGATAATAACTACATCTGAAAAAAATATTAACAAAAGATCCATTATTTTATCCAGATGTAGTTAGGTAAAGAACTATTACCAGTTATAACTATATCTGAAAGAAATTATTCCAGATGTTATTGGACTTTAGAAAAATTCCTAGATGTAGTTACATCTTTCTAAATATGTTGCTAAGGGTCATTTAATTTCCAGATAATATTGGACAAATATTGTTGAAGTTAAAGAAAAATATAGATGATCTAGGACTACACAACAGATGTAGCTTTTGCAAATTTTGTTTTGTTTTGCATCTATTAACACATCTATTATATTGTTTGCACTGTAAACAATAGTTGATACTATTGTTTACAGTGCATACAATATAAGAGGACCTACTTATAATGTTATTATTCCTGGTTCTGCATATAATTAAAACTATAAAAATTAAAACTACTTTGTTTTTCCAAAAAGTTTACTGCATAATTATCCTTTTTGTACCTAATATTTAATATTAATAATTTTTTGTACTTAATGTTTATACATAAAAAAGCCATTATTTCATAACGCCATAAATCGAATATAAAAAGAACAGAACTGCCAAGTCTAACTTAAAGACCCCGTCAACTATATATATATAACAAAATGCAAAAAATATAAACTTCTTAAGAAATACCTTTACAATCATTGATATTTTTTTTTTGGCTGCATACTTGTGTATAATTAACATGATTGCATAGAGCTTGAAAAAACCTAATTCAGCTTTAAAAACACAATCAAAATATTTATTAAAGATGATTTATACAACTAGATGTTAGCTTGTTGTTGCTTGTTGTTGCTTTCAACCTTAATTTAGTTTATTTTAAGAAAATTTTATTAACTTAATTAAAAGCTTGATAATCAAATTTTATCAATATAGTTCAACTTAATTATGCAAATAAAATACTTTATCCTAATTATAAAACCTAGTAAAAGATTACTACATTTGTCCAACAACATCTGTAGAGTAGTCTAAGATCATATACTTTTGTATACTTTTGTTCAAGATCATCTGTATTTTTTTTACTCCATCAACATTTGTTCAGTATTATCTGGAAATTCAATGATCCCTAACAACATCTTTAGGAAGATGTAACTCTATCTGTAACTACATCTTAAAAAAACCATATGAAACTACATCTGGTTAATATAACGCATTATATTATTTTTTTCCAAATGTAACTACATCTGAAAAAAAGACATATATGAAACTACATCTGGGTAATATAATGGATTTTAATTTAATAACTCCATAAAATCCTGTAGTTATATTTAATATAATTGAAAAGATGTAACTGGAGAATTCACAGATGGTTAGCTATATTTTGAATGATACAAAAGTAGGTTTGCAATATTGAAGAAAACATAGACCTAGAGTGTTTTCACAAGATATTGTGCATTCAAAGTTTTTATTAAAATGTAAGACCTACCTTTAAATCATCCTATTTAAACATTGCTATTTATAAATTTGAAATCTTGAGCAATTTTTGATAATGAAATGAATGAAGACAATTATTCCATCAATTTGCATTTTCATTTTTAATTTATCTTTAATAATTATGGCAAATATCTCAGTAAAGTTTTATTGTTTCTAACATTGTTTTAAAGTTGTTTGTCAAGGTTCATAAGTTAAGCAAAGCACTACCAGGAGCGTGGTGGATTGATCTCAGAACTTCTCGCTTATGAGGCAAGCTATCACTATTTATCATTATTTATAACTAAAATGCACTCTAAAAAATGACAATTAGTGGCAATTTTATTATGAAAAGAGATTCATTTGACCATTTGATCAACTGATGTTAAGGTAGCAAATACTTTAAAGAAAATTCACTCTCACTATTCTCAACAAAAGCATGACTTGCTTTGATACATTAATCATTAGAAATTTTTCAGGAATTTGTTTTGAACACATCTTTACAATTATAATTTCTAATCACATGAACTGACTTTTATTAATGAGTTAAGTAGACAACATTTTGATCAATATAACATATTTTGTATTAGTTATGTATATATACTATCTATGAAAGATTTTAATTCTATACAGATATAATCAATATAGAATAAAATTTATAATTAATATACATACATCCTATCTAATATCATTATTATAGAATATAAAAGTATAAATAGAACAAAAATGTATAAATGATAAACATTAATTTCTTCTTATATCAACATTATGAATATGATTATAGATTTATTATAATGACATCACAAATATAAGATATACCTTAATGTAGATGTAAACATGGACTTCTATAACCTTAGATTTATTTTGAATGAAGGTAAATATAAGATTTTGTTATAAAAGAATTTTTATAATCTTTTTTCATATAAGAATTATTATAATTAATAGAAAAACTCACCATTGTACTTTATTATTTTTCAAATTTAATAAACAAGTTCTGATAAGTTTTTAGTTCACTAAACTAGTTGCTATTAGAAGAACGCGCGTTGTTTTTAAATTTAAAACAAGGTTTAGAATTTAAACCTACTAAAACAACGCATGCGTTAAAAATTTCCTCAAGTCTTAGAGTCCGGTTAACGAGATGTTTCAAAATCGGACTCTGCGAAACTCAAAATTTTTAACCAATCAAAATAGGGATCGATCTCAGGAAATAGCCGTTCGTATTTTGTTAAATAAAGATGATTTTAAAATGGATACAGATTATTTTTTGCTGTGTCAATTATACCGAAGTATTATCATTCAGAACACTTGCACAATTGATTATTTTTTGTTGGCTATTTGGTGCTCATCTTTATTGTCACAAAATATCATAAGTATATTACAAGAGAATAAAAAAGATATCAAAATATATAATCACATACTCGATATACTTTCTCTCATTGAAACTTGTGAATGGGATAGAGTAAAAACTATATGGATTCTTCTTGTTATGAGACTAAAACTAAATGATTCTTTTACTTTCAGTACTCTTGATACAGAATGCAATGCGTTTATTCGTTTTTTAATACATTTTCAGACAATTCAGTTTAATTGTTCAACCTGTAACAAAACGATTTGTCCAAACATTAATGAGTTTATCTTAATTAAAAACGCAGAGAAAGTAACATATTTAAATATCAAGTTGAATGAATTGTGTAAAATCTGCTCTAACCCAGCAAACAATAGACGTCTTTTAGACCGTCTAAAATTGGTCTAATTTGTATCTATTGCCAATATGTATATTTTAGACGTATATTAGAGATCAAAAAGACGTCTGGATCTAGAGATACTATTTTTGCTCTGTTTTAGATGCATATTAGATGCATAAAATAGATCGCGCATAGATAATTTTTTTTCATCTAAACTTAGATGTCTATTAGATGTCTTATATAGATTTGTTATAAAAACAAGAAAAAAATATAACTAATTTTACGGAACGACAATTATAAATGACCGCCATTTAAAAACCATGCTTGAACTTATTACAAATAAAGCATGAAGATTTTAACCTATGGAAAACATTAATGATTATTTCTTTTGATAAATTTTAAATAATAAAATAACATGCTATTATAGTTCACAAAATATTTTGATGATTTGATGCTTAGCATGTTCGCTAAAATCCTTGTGATTTGAAATTTATTTTGCAGAAATATTACAAAATTAATATTTTCAAGTTGATATTTTTTTTTCTAGAATAAAAGATAATGTAATTAATATATATATATATATATATATATATATATATATATATATATATATATATATATATATATATATATATATATACATTTATATATATATATATATATATATATATATATAAATATATATATATTATATATAATATATAATATATATATATATATATATAAATATATATATATATAGATATATATATATTATATATATATATATATTATATTATATAATATATATATATATATATATATATATATATATATATATATATATATATATATATATATATATATATATATATATTATATTTATGGAAAAACACTCATAATATGAGTGTTTTTTAATAACACAAAAGATTGTTTTATTGGTTGTGCACTTATTGTTTTTATCGAGAAACCAAGATTCATTTAAGTCTTTTACAAAAAGGGCATACGAAAAGAGACGCAGTAGGCGTGTCCAAAAAGAATATTAAAAAATACTAGAGTTTTCATCAGTACATATGGAAAAAAATTAGAATGTTGGAACTTCTAAAAGAAATAATTTCTTATCTTGAGAAAATCTAAAAGAATATTTTGACCATCATGAGTCAGCGATTTTGTACAATGAATACTCTTATGACCAAAAGCCTAATGAGTATAAGCATAACCCAACTTTAAAGGAAAGTTCTGCATTTTTTTCTAACCAAGTAATTATTACTAAGATTTTCCTTTTATTTTAACTATTTGGCTGTCCTATTATATGTAATGTTGTTAAGTTGGTTACATATATTTATATCATTGACAGCATTCTATTGTATTAAATAATCCTTTAATCAACTTGATATGAAAATTGAAAACTGATTGAAAGCATGCTGAAGTTGTTTGAATTCAGAAATTGAAAGAGTACAAAATTGGTTGAAAGATTAAATTAAGTAACAGGTATGGTTGAGGGATTATTTATAGTTCTAATTATAATTATTTCTTTTGAATAGTGTTGTTATCAGGTTCAAAGATTGAAGAAGATAATTTTTTTTCACATTTTATTGATGAACACCAAGCAATTTTTTATTAATTTGTTTTTGTATTAAAATAATTGTAAAAGATAGGTATAAAAGAATAGAAATGGATTATTTATAATATTGTGATCTGATAAATCATGTGTGTAGCATTTTATCTTTAGTAGTTTTTTTAGTAAGAATTTTAACTACTACTTTTAGTAGTAGTTAAAATTCTTTAATATCGTAGTCTTTTACAGGATAAAGTTTTAGCTGATTTAAAAAGTAGGTTTTCCAAAATATTATGGCAACTTCTGCGATGGAGTAATAAAAAAACTTACATGTGTTTTTGGAATTTTAGTTACTCAAGCATAATTTGAATTTTAAAGTTCTTATTTCATTGTTTTGCTATTTGGTTTTATGAGCTAAATATGTTAATCAATCTTTTTATTCTTGTTTGTAGAGATGCAAAATGTTATTCTCAAGGAGCTTGCAGAAATAAAAGTTCTTTTAAAAGAAGTTATAGAAATTAAGTTCCAGGCTACTGGGGTGAAGTTGCTAGAATCGGTGGACGAAGTGGTTACACTGGATAATAAACTAAAAGATAAAACCGAGTATACTAATTTGGTATAATCTAATTATCTTAGTTTTTAATAAGTTTGTTTAAATTTGGTTTATTAGTTTAGAATCTAAATAAAAAGTATTTGTAAATGAACTAAAATAACTAGCTTGTGTTAGACTCAATATGTTGTAAAGAAATTTAAGTTACACTAGTTTTTATTACATTTATTTCAGCTTGATAGTTTAAAAAAGATTGGTGGTGGAAAGCCAAGAGAAAATGTTTTTTTGATCATGTAAAGGTAAATGATTTTGTTTTTATTAATTATTAGAAATATGATTAAAAGGGACCAAAAGCAATTCTTTTTGACCCTTATTTGTTATGGATTTACTTTTAACATGACAATTTGATAAACTCGGGAGCTTCGCTGTAGGTGTTAAAGTTTGTTTGTGTGCTAAAGTAAGTGTAATGCTAAACCTTGTTTAGCATTTTATTTGCAAATTTAATGCTTTTACCTTTCATAATTTTAAGCATTCATATATTAAATGAATCGAAAAGGAAATGGGGAAAAGATAAGCTTAGAAAATCTAGTAAATATATGGAGTGTTTTACGAGGTATAGTTTTAATAGTATTTACAAAACTGATATCTGTATTAAAAAGATATTCTTCGACTTTTTTGTGTCATGCTAGAATTTTTGTATCCATAATATAAGTTCCTTTAGTTTTTTCATAAAAAAATTGTTGTTTATTATTGTATCTGGTTGAGATACAAATCTTCTTGTTTATATATATATATATATATATATATATATATATATATATATATATATATATATATATATATATATATATATATATATATATATATATATATATACATGTATATATGTGTATATACAGTATTGGACAAAACATTTGCAACCAACATCGAACAATGCTAAAAAGTGTTCCTAATTTTATATGTCTTAAAAATGAAACAAACTATACTACCACAGCAAACAATTCAGGAGTTTGGACTCATAGCATGCCATGATATGAGCAATCAGCTGACAGGTGACAGCACACAGGCAGAATTTCGTTGACAAGTGCCATTTTGCAGCATACATCACGGAAGTTTTTTAATAATTAAAGGAAGTATCCAGAAGTTTCCAGTAGCATGCAGAAGCTTCCAGAAGTTTCCAGAGGAAGCATCAGGAAGCATCCAGAAGTATCCAGAAACATTCAGAAGCATTCAGACCCATCCAGAAGCTTCCAGAAGTATTGAAAAGAAGCATCTAAAATCTTCCAGAACAGGTTTACACAGGTTCATTTTACTATATAAGAGACATGTAATTCAGTCAGTATATGGAAGTCAATCAGTCAGTATTATCAAGACAGTTTATCGAAGTGAGTTTTATCAAAGTGTTTTATCGAAGAACATCAATACCAGAAGTGAAATACAACAAGTGTTTCATTACATCAATACAGTCCACATCCAACCAAGGCGTTATGTTCCGCAGAGCAATATTTTATCATCACAAGGTAAATGTAACACGGTAAGCCTTGAGAAGTGTGGTTATTTATTTTTATTATTTTTATGACTTCAAGTGCAAAAATGGTTCCCGACAGTCTTGGATTGGAACTAAGAGAGAAAATTATTTGCAATTACTCAAGTGGAATATCACGAAAAAATATTTGTGATAAATATGGCGTGAAAAAATAGATCGTATCAAGACTATGTTCCAAATATTGTTCCGCAGGGAAGTTGGCAGCAGATAACAATGGTGGAAGACCTCCTTCCACCATTTCTAGAGAAAATTCTATGATCGTCAGATCTGTCAAAAAGGATCCCTGGATATCATCAGTTGAGATACAAAAGCAATTAGAGCTGCTTGTACGTCAAGCGACAGGAAAACGCCTTAATTAACGTTACTGCCATAAGACTGTATGCAATGGTGGAGGCAATGTAATGGTCTGGGGGTGTTTTTCTACTTACGGTCTAGGTCCAATACATCGAATTGATGGAATAATGGACCGTTTCATTTATAAAAATATCCTGAAAGATGTTATGTTACCTCATGCTGAATGGAATATACCAATAAAATGGGTTTTTCAGCAAGACAACGATCCCAAACACACTGCAAAAGTAGTCAAGCAGTGGTTATAAGACAACCATCTATTGGTGATGGATTGGCCGCCTCAATCTCCGGATCTCAACCCTATCGAGAACATGTGGGAGATTGTCAACTGCAGAGTTAATCATGAATGTGTTTGTAATAAAGATCAACTGTTTGAACAAATCCAAAAGGCCTAGGCAGCAATTCCACAAAGTTTTATTGATCACCTGATCGAATCTATGCCTTAAAGATGCAAGGCTGTGATCGACAAAAAAGGATTCACCACAAAATATTGATATGAATACAGCTTGGTCAACATTTTGTGGAATTGCACTTGTTTTGTCCAGAAGGAAATCAACTTTTTTTAATACTTTTGATTAATTTATTAATTTTCGTGTACAAATAATGAACTTCGCGATGAATAAAATTTGAAGAACGTTGTCTCTAAACAGTTACATAGTTATTTCTCTAAATTGAAAAAATACAGCACTTTTATACAAAGAAACTAAATTAACATCATTTGATTGCACTGGTTTTGTCCGATACTGTATGTGTGTGTATATATATATATATATATATATATATATATATATATATATATATATATATATATATATATATATATATATATATATATATATATATACATATATATATATATATATATATATATATATATATATATATATATATATATATATATATATATATATATATATATATATATATATAATATTTCATAAAAATAGATTCAGAATTCTACATGTCTTTTAAAGTCATTTAAATGTCATTAATGTATATATTTTAGATATCGGCGACGTAGAAGAAAATATTGACGGCAATGCAGAAATATAGTTTCTTATGTATATTTTTGTGAAATAAAAATTAAGTAATGTTAGTTAAAATGTTTCTTTACTTATTTAATTTAATCCTTTTTTATGACTAATTTAACCGCTGTAACACCTTTGTATCAAACAAGTCCCAGCAAAGAAAGAGATATCTAAAATGCATCTAATATGCATCTAAAACCTGGTCTTAAAGACGTCTAAATTCATGTCGTGAACGGGACATAAATAGATGTCTATCTTATAGATGTCTTTTAGATGCATTTTATTCGACACAAATAAATGCCTTAGATGCATAAAAGATGTGAAATATACATTTAAAGATGTATATTAGATGTATATTAGATGCATAAAAGAGCTATTATTAACTAAAAAATTATCTATTATCTATCTTTTTTAAACGCGCCTTAGACATCTATTTAAGAGACGTATTTTATACATCTAATATGCATCTGTAAGATGTATATTTCACATCTTTTATGCATCTAAGGCAATTATTTGTGTCGAATAAAATGCATCTAAAAGACGTCTATAAGATAGACGTCTATTTATGTCCCGTTCTAGACCTGAATTTAGACATCTTTTAGATCAGTTTTTAGATGCATATTAGATGCATTTTAGATATCTTTTTGTTTGCTGGGAATGACTCTACTGCAAAGTTTTTATTTCACCCATTTTGTTTATTTGTAGAGGTGTTCCAAGAAGATGAAGATGAACTAAATATAAATGATATCCCATTATCATTTATAATTGATAAACGTTGTTTCAATTTTATATGTTGCACAATATTTAATAATGAAACAAGCCACTATAGATCAATATTTTTATTAAATAGTGAATTTTACTTGGTAGATGATTTAAGCAATTCTATCATCAAAAAACTACCAAAAATGTATAATATAAAAACTATTTTTTATTATTTGGCTTAAATATATAAAATTACATTAATTTTTCTTGTTTTTTGATTTTTTTTTTTAATTTTTGGCCAAAAAAATATTTTTACCAGATACCAGATTTACCAGAAAACTATAACGTCAAGCTGATCGGGTTTAGATTTTTTGGATGGTAATCCGTAAGACACTAACAATACGTTGGTGTAAAAATCTAAACACGATCGGCTTGGCGTGATTATGGGCCAAAAGGCATAAAAGTAGTACAGACTCCTTTAATAGTATCGTGTTAAAAATACAACAAACTTTCGTACTTTAAAATATATATATATATATATATATATATATATATATATATATATATATATATATATATATATATATATATATATATATATATAATATGTAAAATAAATATATAACAATTTTTATTATTAATTTTTATTAATTAATTGGAGTATAGTTTAAATACAATAATAATTATTAATACAACAAAATTTATGCATATTTATGTTACCAAGTTTATAAAATTTTCATAAAATCCATAATATAAAATAATCATGATATAAAAACTATTTATATATTTCTTTAACAAAAATTAAAAAGATATTAGATTCTCAAACAGCATGTTCATTATAATGAACATGCTGTTTGAGAATCTAATATCTTAATTTTGTATCTAATATCTTAATTTTTGTGATTTGTGACGTGATTTAAATGCGCTAGTGACGTGATTTAAATGCGCTATTGGAAGGCATTATGAATTGCGGGAAAATAAATAGCACTTGAGTGCTATTTGTTTTCCCGCAATTCATAATGCCTAATGATTTAAATCACGTCACTCTACGACTCAATTTACTCAGAAAGTCACGCAATTCAATGTGCACTCTGATTGCGAGAAAATTTTTAATTCAACTAGATTTTTTTGGCAATTTTAACGTAAGGAACAGATTGTCCCGGGCGGCAGATTTCCAAGGGACACCAATTAGAATGAAGGTACCTTGGAGCAAAGGTCCTTTACCGATAATATAGGAGAATTTCGATAATTAAGAATGCCAATCATGTTGCTGTCCCGGGCGGCGAAACAGTTCTTGGCGGCATTTTATATATATATATATAGTTATTTGTTTGTATTTAATTTTTTTACAACACTTTTATTTATATACATTCAATAAAAATAGTTTTTAATTATTTTGTAAATATAATATATTTTTTTTTATTTCTATACTTATAATGTTGTGTAGCGCAGGTGGTAAGGCACTAATGGTCTAGTGATCCGGGTTTCGAAACCCACCTCCGCTAAGTTTTTCATTTTTCAAAATAAATTAAAAAAATTGAAAATCTTCCGAATCCTTTATGATACCCTACAGGATAATCACAGGATTTCTTATGATCTTATAGGATTTGCAAGACAAATAAAATCTTACGAATCCTTTAAGATACCCTATAGGTAATCACAGGATTTTTTATGGTCCTATAGGATTTGAAAGACAAATAAAATCTTACAAATCCTGTAAGATATCCTGTAGGATAGTATAAGATTATATGCGATCCTATAAGACTCATAAGTTGTCTGTAAGATAGTCGGCTAGTGTGTCTAGTCCTGTGTGTCTGGATTTAACAACAGTAACAAAAAGGTGATTTCTCCCATTTAGAGAAATCAAAAGTTGTCATCCACTATTTAATGACTATCCTATATTTGATGACTATCTTATTGTAGACCCATAAGATTTGTTTTCAAAATAGAATCCAAGGAATCTGTGATCGAAGAAGATCAGTACTTAAAAGTGAGATAGCTATCTCACTTTTAAAATTATATTCAAGGTTTCTAGAAATCTTGGATATAATTTTATTAGAGGTTTGCGGTTCTTCTATTGAAGTGAATTGTATTATTGAACTTACAATGATTGATGGGAAAGTTCAAACGATATTATCTGAAAAAACTCATACCAATGCTGTTCAGTGTGTGGTGTCTCTCCAAAAAATATGAACAGTTTTGATATCCTTAATATAGATAATACTAACAGAGAGTTCAAATATGATCTTTCCATTCTTCATGCATGCATTCAATTTTTTGAGATAAAAAAGAAACAAGAAAATGGCAAGCAAGATCTAAAGAACACAAAGAAAAGAAATCTCTACCTAAACAAAAGATTCAGACTGATTTTATCAACAAAATGGGCCTTGTTGTTAATTTCTCTTAAAGTGATGGTTCTGAAACAAGCAATGATGGCAATACCTCAAGGCGTATGAACAATACTTTATGAATACAATACAATGATGGCAATACTTTTGCAGCATATGAACAAAAAGCTGAAAATCTGGGTATTGATCAAAAACTTATATTCAGATTTTACATTACCTTGGTAACATTCTTCAAGATATATAATAGACAGTGACCCTGTTATTTTATCACTGCAAAAATCAAGATTACACCAAACAAATCATAAAGAATTTCCTTTAGATGTTTTACAATTACTTAAACAATCTTTAAACGATGTTATTGTTTTATAATTTTTTTGATGTAATCTAAAATTGACAATATTTTCTTGCACTATTTTTTTGTTTTTATTATTGCAAAAACATTATTAACCTAAAAAATCAATTGTTATTCAATATAGGTGAGTCAAAAATCCAATAGAATATTTGAATATCAACTTACATCTCTGTAACTAAGGAAATAATTTGGTAACTAAGCAATATAAGTATCCATAGCAATTAAATTTAAAAAATTATCACTTTTGTAATAAGTGTGATCTCATATTGGTACTAATGCCAAATTTAGGAAATATAGCACTTATAAAATATCAGCAGATTACAAAAATGGGTTGTTGATAAGCAAAATAAAGGTATCCATAGCAACCAAATAAAAAAGCATTACTTTCATAAAAAGCGCAGACATTAGCACTTATGCTAGTTTTAATGAATATAGCTCTAATATTAAATTAGTTATGAATTTTGTCTAGTAAAAGTGAATTCTGACCCACTGTGCACTGCCCCGACTTAACGTTTGTATGCTTAAACTCTCTTTTTTTCTTCTGTTTTTGTATTCCATTTTGGCAAGTTTATCTTTAAGTTTTTCATTATATAAGAAGAGTTTTTTTTTTAATAATGCCTATAATGTCATATCTAAAACATCAAAAAATCGTCCATTGGATCTACAATGTAGGTCCTACAATGTAGGTCCTACATCCATAACAATCAATGAAAAATTATTTAGGGGAAAACGTTCGAAATGCATTCATTTGAAGAAAATGTGCAAAGTGGATTTATTTAGTTTGTACAAGCTTTTTTTTTTTTTTTTTTTTTTCAATACAATTGTATTGAAAAAAAAAAAAAAAAAAAAAGCTGTTCCTATTTCATCGTTGAAACGAGTTTGTTAGTTCAATCAATTTTTAAACGAGTTTGTCCGTGCCGTGTTCGTTCAATTAATTTTTATACCGCGAAACTTTCGCACATATATTTACACAATATAAAAATTACATAAAAAAAAAAAAAATTTTCTAGGATCGTTACTTTAAGCATAATAGTTTAAATTTATAATTAAGAATTATTATTTTTATACTTTATATTGAAAATTTTTTTTTTTTAATAGATCATGTCTGAACAACAAGATACATTATACAACACAGACTTTCTTATAATGGAGTATTTTGCTCATAAAATTATTAAAATGTTCTTAGAAGAATATAAAGGATGTATAAACAATAATATGGTTCATCTTATGAACGCTTGGAAAGGTAAGAAAAGTAAATATATTAAATCTTTTTTATAAAAAGAAAAAAAAAATGTATATATATATATATATATTATATATATATATATATATATATATATATATATATATATATATATATATATATAATAATAGTAAATATGTTAATAATAGTAAATATGTTAATTCTTTTTTATAAAAAGAAAAAAAATTGTATATATATATATATATATATAATATATATATATATATATATATATATATATATATATATATATATATATATATATATATATTATATATATATTATATATATATTATATATATATATATATTATATATATATATATATATATATATATATATATATGTATATATATATATATATGTATATATATATATATATGTATATATATATATATATATATATATATATATATATATATATATATATATATATATATATATATATATATGTACACATATATATATATATATATATATATATATATATATATATATATATATATATATATATATATATATATATATATATATATATAAGTACATATATATATATATATATATATATATATATATATATATATATATATATATATATATATATATATATATATATATATATATATATATATATATATATATATATATATATATATATTGCATCGATTTTACAAGATTGTTGCAGATATTGTTTAGAACTTTTCTCTAATTGGTATCTAATTCTTGCTTTAAGCTATTTATGGATTGTAATTACACCTTGACTAATTTTTTGTCCATTTGTCCTTTATTTTCTTTCATCCATGCTTTTCTGTAAAAGCTGTGTGGAAAAGTGCCAAATCTTGTAGAAGTTGCCACTATTTGTTCCAATCAATCAGCATATCGACTTATGGAACTATACAGTTCTCTAGCGCCTCTATATATGTATGTTTGTTGATTCAACCTGTATAAATGATACACACTCCTTCTCCATTAAAATTAAAGCAGCCCCTAATACCAACGCTCTTGCCATCACTTTGCAACCTCTGTACAACAAAGCTATTACTATACTTAACTCGGCTCATACTTGACGGTTATTCTTAACATTGCTGACTACACGTCGGCTATACTTAACATTGGCTCATACTTGACAAAAATAGGGCTTTGCAAATAGGATCATGTGGCAAGAAATTACAATGAACAAAGGGGAGTTCCTGAGATGTTAAATAAAAATTACCACTGACAAGTTATAACTTGTAACTTGTCTGTACAACTTCAGTGGATTTACAGTTAAGCCACACAATGGTTTATTTAATTTAAAAGACATTGAACTCATTGATGGGCTATTAGACAATATTAGTATTGCACAAACAGTAATTCACCACTCAAAATTTTTTTTTAAAAAAAAAAACGTAAAAATTGAATAAAATAAAGAACTGAAGTTAATACTGGATGTAAAGACAAGGTGGAATTGACTTCTTGCAATGTTCGAGCAGTTTACTGCATTAAAAACATGTATATTAAAAGCATTGATCGTCTTTAAACCCAACAATATTTACAATAATTTGGAAGAGAAATATTTAGTTTTGCAAGCTTTAGTAACAGCGTTACATTCAATAAAACTCGGAATTGAAAGACTATAGATGGGTTTTTATGATATTTAAAAAAAAAAAAAAACTACTCAATTTGTTACTACACTAATTTGTGCGTGTGTGTGTTATTATTATGAGAATTTGTTTTTGTTATTGTTTGTTATGAGAAATTGTCTAAATAAATATTTTTGCTCATGCAAGATGATAAACAAATTTTTTTTTATTATTATATTATTTTGCACAGAATCTTTAAGGAGAATTTTTAGGTAATAAATACTTTAACCATGAATCTGGCATGGTGCATAGCACCAGGTTTCTTAAATTTGCATATATAGCTTGGGTCCAGGTACATAAGACATAACTCTGCTAGCTCATGGTAGTCATCTCTTTTCTTACCAGTCTAAAATTTTATTATGTTTTTATTGAATGTTTCCTAAATCTAGATATAATGCAATGAAAAAAAATGCTAGTAAAAATGGTTATTTAGACTTTTAAAAACTCAGAGGATATTTTAAAAAATATCCTCTGAGTTTTTAAAAGCTTTGGTTTTTACTATCTCCATAAATTGGTTCTTTGCTTTAATGGGTTGAGCTTCCAGCCAAGTTCCACAAACAAATTTCCATTCAAACCTATTCAGCTGGCAACTTTCAGTATCAATGGAATGCCATTGTTTATAAAGCAATTTAAAAAGAGGAATTTTAGGACCAACAGTGGCCTTGCAACCAATAGCCTTTTCGAAATGATTGATGTGGACCTCTCCTACGTGGTGGCGGCAGGCCAACATCAGTAAGAGTTTGATCTTAGTCTTAAAAGTACATAGTGTTCTTTCATTTTTTACTTAACACAGTTAAATCATGATCAATTTTTCTGTAGCATAAACATAATTGCAATAATACTTTAAAAATTCAAACAACAAAGTTAGTAATAAGATTTTAAAAATATATTCTTATTTTTATTCACATGTATATATTACAGTTTGCCAGTATTACTGCTGGTAGTATTAGAGCATACAGAGTACACATTGTTGGTTATGTCTATCTCCTTCAAATAGTCACATTGATTGAATTAAACTGGTTTAGGGCAGTACCAAAATCAATGCCTGGTACACCTAGCAGACAATTTTTGCCAGCAAAATTTACATGTACACAGATCCTGTCTTTTACTTTGTCACATTGCTCAGGTTATTAAATCCTTTAATATTTTGCCATCAAAATATAATTCAACCTTGTGTTTAATGTGATATTGCAATAACTTTTTTAACTTTTGAAAATCTTTATCAAGTATCTTATTTTTCGGTCTGGCGCAAAGCATGAAAATAAACCTTCAATGATAATTTTTGGTATATGTCTTTTAAATAACATAAACATTTGTTAAAATAGTATCCATTTTTAAAATATTTTTTCCAATATATTATGCAGTTAAAAAAGAATTTTTTTTCTTAGAAAACTTGATCAGGCCAACGTGAGGTGAAAAAAAAAAAAGTTTTTTATTTCTATATTACAGTCCGCAAAAAATTTGTTAGTGAAAATTTTTCCATGACCTAATTTTTGAACACCCCTAATATATAGATATATCAGACATTATACTAGACTTCTCTCTCTCTCTCTCTCTCTCTCTCTCTCTCTATATATATATATATATATATATATATATATATATATATATATATATATATATATATATATATATATATATATATATATATATATATCTGTCTATGTAAATCTATATATATGTCTAAATAAATCTATATAAATGAAAAACCAGTTATCTTTAAAAAAATAAAAGTTTATTTTACAAAAATAATTCTTTTTGTCTGGGGCTTCAAAGTTATGAAAAAAATATTTTGAAGAAAAAATTTCAATATTAATAAAGCAAATAAAAGCAGAGCAGAATACACAAGCAAATGTGAAAGTTATGTTATTTTGTGAGAATATAGGTGGTAGTCATCCTTTATGATAAGTTTTGTAACACTGGATTCAAAATTATACAAGTTAGACCCTCCTAAAAAAGCCACATGCCTTTGAAATGGTAAAAACAGGTCCATTTTAGAACTGAAAGTTACCAGTAAATTTGGTTAAACAGGCGTTCAGTAAATTTAACACTTGAAACTTGTATCTTGTATATGATATTGTGTATGATTATGTAAAATAACTTCAATGTAAGAAGAAGAAATACAGAAAAAATAATTTTGGGATGTCTTGTAGCTGCTGAGATATCTGAATTTAAACTTTCTATCATAATAGGGTTCTGGAATTAAAAATCGGCCATTTTGAAATTGTGTCAAAACAATGGTGTCACTCCTTTGATCAGACTTCTGTATGAGTGGCACCACCCATACTAATCATTAACTTATTATAATAAAAAAGTAAAGTATCATTTAACTTATTATTATTATAGTAATTATTATTATTTATATATTTTTTTTGTTATTATTATTGTTATAAATTATTATTATTGCTTATTATTTTATAATTATTTTTGTTATTATTATTTACCTTATTATTGTAAAAATGATTTTCAAAAGGAAAATAAATAGCTTGTTGTTGTTGTTGTTGTTGTTGTTGTTGTTGTTGTTGTTGTTGTTGTTGTTGTTGTTGTGCAACCAGAGTATTTACTTATGCTTAAACATTTACAACAGGAACAACAGAAAAATTAGTCTTCTCGCATTGGCCATTGAAAGTTTACTCAATTTTGTTGCATAAGTTTTATGTAAATATCTGATTCATCTGCGATTTCTTGTACAATTCCAATGTACCATTCATTATCTTAGACACATGCAAGATATATTACAGCATGCAAATTATCTATGCAGTCTGAAGTCCAGCCTTCTTCATTATTAGTTGCATTAATTGTTGTAAAACATGTATCACCTAATATATGTTTCATTTCCCATCATTACATGGTATAAAACTGATGTAAACATATTCCTGGAAGTTCTTTAGAGTTAGAGTAGCCGTCATCAAGATTATCATTTTCTATATGATCTGTTATATTTGTTTCAGAAATACTAATGAATTTAATACCTGTTATACTTTCAGTACACCTTTTAAACATTTCGGTGACAGATAATATTTGGTTATTTTGCAGGCTAAATCTTGCTATAATTTGTTTTATGGTCCCACCAATGCCATCACATGGACCTTTACCATGACTTGTTGCAATAAATGACACTGCACATATTCCATGGTCTTTAAAATGATAAAATAGATTGCTAAGAGTTTTATAGTTTTTGTGTTGGCTAATTGCTCAATCACTTAAGTAATAACATAAAGTTAAATTTGTCAAGACAATTTTTATATCTTTTAAAACTAGCTAAAAATGCATTAGCAGCATTATCATCATGTGCATACTGTCATATATTATGCAATAGTTTATTGGTTTAAGTTTATTTTCAAAATCTTTGTAATATATATTGAATGGATGTAGTGTTGCTTTGCTATTATTTCAATAAAATTCTTGGACTGAGTCTTGTGCTATAAAATTATAATTTTCTGCAAAATCAAGCAAAGTATTAATTTGGTTTTGTTAAAGATTTTCTTTCAGAATTCAAAGAAATTCTGTGCTTTTAAAATGAAATGATGTGATTGCAAATTTTTGAAACAATTAGAAACAATTTCTTCAAAAAGCTCCTCTAAAAGAAGTTCCCAAAAAAGTAACCAAACTAATAGCATTCTCCTTTTTTAACCACTGTTTGTACGGCACTGTATCCTCATATTCAAAATCATGTTGATTGAATATATTACTTATATACTGTTTCAAGTTTTTTACATTAGGGCAGTTATCACAACTATAAAGCATACAGCTGCAATTCTCAATGTCACATGCTGTTTTTGATAAAAGTTCTTTATTTTCAATGTTACCGGGCACTGCATAAATAATCAACTTTGAATTTTGGTGTACTTGACAGACACAAACTGAATGCACACCAGATGCACTATATACTGTTACACACCATTTTGGACGAAGTTGACAAAACTTTTAAAATCCTATTTTCTCTCCTGTTTTTTTTTTTTTAGAAATTCTAAATGTAGCTATTTTCTCTCCTGTTTATTTTTTAGAAATTCTAAATGTAGCTATTTTCTCTCCTGTTTTTTTTTTAGAAATTCTAAATGTAGATTTACAAGTAATAATCGCTTTTGGATATGTTGTTTTTGACCATCCATTTAACTGAAACAAATGCTTTCTTACCAGGACAAATCCAAAAATATTAATCACACTAATAAAAAAATTCTTGATATTTGTTTTAAGTGGTTGTGATCTTATTTCTAGTAATTTTTTTACACTCCCCTAAGATACCTTTAGACGCCTTTAGTTTACTCGTTTTTTTTAATCAATTAATTTGGTACAGAAAAGTATTCTGTTGTTTGTTGGATTGTCCTACTATTTGGTGTTAATGTTAATAATTTTATTTTTTCATTTCTGTTTGATTTAGAATTTTTTTGCCTTATGGCTTCACAAAATAAATCTTGGTCTGTCAATTTTTTCAAATATTCATTGTTTATTGAGCAAATAATAGAAATTTCATTATTGAAAATTCCCAAATAATTTGAAATTTTGGCAAGAATTTGAAACCTCCTTTAAATTTTTTTTCTCCATAATTTGATCTGTCTTAAATAGACACTGATTTTAACGGGTAACAACCCAACATCCTGAATGTTTTATTTGCAATTTCAAAACCAGTCGGAATGTATGATGTATTGGTTTCATCATTGATTCTCTTGTTTTTAATAGTTTCATTGACTTGTCACTTTCTTGTGACAATTTCTTCACATTTTTTTTACCTGGGCATAACTTCATTCTTAAAGCGGTTTCTTCATCGATTGAGCGAAGAGGTTCCTAAAAAAATAAGAAAATTAATCTGTATATTTATTACAATTTTTATCAAAAATATAAAACCTTTTATAAACATAAAACTTGTTTAAAATGTCCATCACAATTTTTTTTTGTCATTACCGAAAAGCAATGACCAAAAAATAACAAAATAATTTTTAACTTTAAAAATATTTGCAGAAAAATTTTTTTTGTAAGATTTTTAACTATAACTTACTAAATGCTTAGTTTTATAAACTATATATGTGTCACAATAATACCTTTGTGTAGTTTTTTTACTTGCAAGGAGCATCTTTTCATGATTAAAACATAAAAACTACAGTCATTTAAAAATACATCACATCTCCATGCAAGCATTTTTTTTTCTTGTGTGAAGCTTTAAATAACTCTTTCACCAACCATTTGAGTAAACAAAGATTTATAGGAATTAAGGTTAAGTAAAATTCCAATATTAGATTTTTTGTTACTCATTTTGTCTCTTTTTTTTGTAATTTACCTCCCCATGGCCGAGAAGGCCATACAGATGAGGAGGCTACTTGTTGTTATAACCCTCTCTCAACTCTATAACTGTGAAACACGAACCTTGACGAACAAGGCCATTTTGTGCCATCATACTAATATTTGAATTGTCTTGTGCCATCATAATAATATTTGGCGAACAAGACTATCTCGTGCCATCATCTTGTGCCATCTACTAATATTCATTCTTGTGTTACTCATCATTTAATTAAATCTCATCTTTTTGTCTGTGACTTGATTGATTTTTAGGTAGTTAAGGTAATTGGTTTTTTATTTATATGGATTTGAAAATGAGACTTCTTTGAAAAAGACAAATTGCTCGAAGTAGGATAAGACATAAATTCTTCACATAGTTACCATAGTTTTAGAATTCTTTAAGATAATAAGTTGAAATGTTAGGGAAATCTTTTTTCTATAAAACCTATAAGGGGTGTAAATTTCAGGAAAATCTGAGATGGTCTAATAAATTAATCTTGCAAAAAGCTTAAAGTTGTGTTCTAAATATAGATCTTTTTTTGAACATAAATGGTTGTGGGATTTAAATTCGAACCAACAAACAATTTGGTGTCACAAAAATGTGTGCTATTAAGAAAATAATTTAAAGTAATTTCTATATATATATATATATATATATATATATATATATATATATATATATATATATATATATATATATATATATATATATATATATATATATATATATATATATATATATATATATATATATATATAAATTTACACAGTTTAAAATTTCACTATAATTTCTTTTTTTTTACAGTTATGGTCCATTCAAGTGATGGGATTTTTTCAGATGAAATGAGAAACTTGTACATTTTAATATCTTTGATTGTAACTTGTTGTTTCTCAAGTATTTCACAAGTTGATCAACTTAATTTAATGTTAGAAATGGTATTTTATTTGTTAATATAATTATTTTTTATTTTTGTATTAATAAATGGTACATTTTTGATGCATTTTTAAAGAATAGTTTAAGCAAAGATTACAAACCATTAAAGTTAAAAAACTTTAATATTAACATATACTAAATAACTTATGTTATGTAATTACTGTTAATGCTGAAGAAGTTCCCATCATTCAATATGAATTTTATATGGTAACACAGAAAAAAGTCTTTTTCATTCAAAATATGTTTAATAAATAAAATATCATTTTTTTAATACATATAAATTCATTAAAACTTTCAAAATTTATTCATCAATTCAATCCACCAAATTGAATTTTTATCAATTTTTTGTTTATTTCATTGCATTACCGATAAAGTTGTTCAGAGTTTACTAATCCAATCCATCAAAGTTTATTTTGTATCTATACTTGATTTTTGAATACAGATTTATGTCAAAAGTACATAAGATAAGAAACAGAAAGTATAAACAAATACAGTATATACAGAACATATATATATTTCAAAAGTACATGAGAATTATGAAATTAATTACAAACAGAAATTCAAAGTTGTAAAGATTATGAATAAAAATCACTAAAGTTTATCATTATTCAGTTGATTTTATATTGGAACAGTTTATTAGAAAACTTGTGTTTCTTGATGTTAGAATAATAGGATTCCATCTCTCTTTTGTACTGTTGAGAGAATTTGACAAAATTTGTTATACTCTCTTTAATTTTTAAAATTCAAAGCAAAAATTTGTTAAATTGGTTAAATTAAAAAATTAAAATATCAAGTTCAAGGAAGGCTTGAAGTTTGTTAAATTGATTGCTTAAAATTATTTTTTTTGAGTAATATAAATTGGTACGAGATAAAATAGCATATCATTAGATGAGAATTATAAGGTTCTATCTCTAAATTTTCATGGTAAAAAAATTTAATTTTCTGTTTTTAGTTATAATATTGTTTTTGTGTTCAAAATTGTATAATTTTAATCTATTAGTCTTATTAATATTATTTATATAATTTTAAAAATTGTTAGTTTTTGTTTTTCATTGTCAATTTCAACCTTATTTATAAAGTTGGAATTATTAATTAATTTTTAAACAAGGAATTTTAAAAATTATGAAATTAATAATGTAAGATTAATTATGAAACCTAAATAACATAAAAAACATATTTTATCAATATAAACAACAACAACTAACAACTTTAAAACAATTAAATAATTAAAAACTAAAAGTTAAATTCTCCTAACGTTAAAAAATGGATATAAAACCCTATTATTCTAATGTCACGATTTGTCAAATCTGCTAGTTTTTAACTTTTAATGTTTTAAGACATGTTTAAAAATGTAAAATTTAAAAAAAATGAAAACTGTTTTTAAATTTTAGTTTCATCGACCTAAAATTTTTGATTTTGATTTCTTAGTTTTACAAAGAGCTATCTTTATTTTAAGAAGAGCAAATAAATTTGTTGTCAGATATTATGAAAAAAAAAAACTATTTATAAAAGAAACACAACCCTGAGTTTCAGATTGGGCAAATCATCTCTACAAAATCTCAAGGCGTTTCCAACTTCCTGTAATGTTAGCCTAACCAAAATTATATTCAAATCAAACACAGAAAACTTATATTCATTCAAATCAAAAACAGGTATCAGGTTGAGCTAGATCGCCTAACCAAAATTATATTCATTTAAATCAAACACAGAAAATTTATATTCATTCAAATCAAAAACAGGCTTCAGGTTGAACTAGATGCCTGCATCCTACAAACATGTTATTAAAAAAACGTTTAGATTTTTTAAAACCTAAAAAGTTTTTTACAAAGATGAAATACTTTTCTTTTCATTACTAATGTAATTTTTTAAATTACAACTAGAAGTGCCCGGAATGAATAACATTTATATTTTTCTAAAATAAATAGAAAGGAGATAATTGGAGATAATAGAAAGGAGATAATTGAACAAAGAAAGTTTAGGAACCATTATTTTTTTCTTCAACTAGTAAAGTAAAATGTTGTATGCAATACAACATTTTACTTTACAACCTGTAGGTTTAGAATTCCTCTAAAGATTCTTACTTCGGCCTCTGTTTTCTATAATATGCATCAATCAAAATAAAAACTATTATTTACATATTAAAAAACAAACAAACAATTATTTGTATTGATCAACAAATAAACTTAGCTGTTATTAACTAGATAAATTTAGGGTATTTTGATTATAATTTTTTTTAATTTTATTTGCATAAAGAATAATAAAAGAAAGTGGACAGAAAAAAACCTCATTGCTACATATTATCTCATTTTCTATATTTTAGTTTTTTTATTTAAACATTTTTTTATTTAAGCATAAGATTTTTCAATAAAAAATCTTATGTTTAAATAAAAATCTTACGACAGTTTTAGCAATATGATTAATAAATATTAAAAATTTAATCAATTTAAATTGCCTAAATGTGTAACCGCAATTGTCATTATGAGGTCAATTATCTCACTAATATGTAAAAAATTGGTTAAAAGAAAAAAGAAAAAAGCACATCTTCCTGTTAATATAACCTTTTTATTTGAAAATGGTTTTTGATAATTGTTGCTAGAAATGAACCGAAAACAAAACATATTTTTTTTATGTTCTTAAAATTTTTCATTTAAACAGTATTATTGAATTGCTCTAGATCAATACTCAAGGTCAAGAGTTTCAAAGTGCAACTGAAGATGTTTCAAATGTTTGCAAGTTTCTTCACACAAAGGTATCTTTTTTCTTCTACAGAATTTATTATATACAGATATAACAGGCCTTGTGATGAATAAAAACTGCGCGACGCATAAGCACAACATGATTTTTGACGTCATTAAATTCTTTTTATTTGCTTTTCACATTTATCAACATTAACTGCACCAATTTACTTAATTACCACAAAACTACTTTAAATCATTAATGTAGAAATGTTATTATTTAAAAATGTTTTGGAATATTTCGTTTTTTAAAATGTAAAAATATTTGTTTATTTTCTCGACGTTTGACATGTTTTGTCTATACTAAACGAATAAAAAACATTATAACTAAACATTTAAAAAAGATTATAAAATATGCAAATATATTTGATTTTTTTTTCTTAAATATGTAATTTAAAGTTTTTCAAATAATTATTTTTTCTTTTTAAAAAGTCAGCGAGTAATAAACTGAAAATTTTATTATTGTATGACTAAAAACTGTGCAATAGCTAATATTTTTACCAGCGATTTTATATAATATTTTTTTATTTATTTATTTTCATAAAGGGGTTGATAAGCTCAATCACTCGTATTACTAAAAAACTTTAACAAACGTTTTGAATAGATTTTTAATGTTTACAAGAAATTTTATTTCTACTTGCACTATCACTAGTAGTAAAACAACTTTTTTTTTTTTTAAGAAAAAAAAATTAATACACGTTTTATATATGTCCTTATTTAGACATACTTTATATTTTAAGTTTTATGAAATGGCCTATGATTACAGGTTGCAAATTAGTTTTTATTTTATTTTTTACATTTATTGAGCCTTTTTCAGGGTGTTTGTTTATTCAGCAATAGCAAACAACTTTGCTATTGCTGAATAATTTTATTAAAATGTTAGCTTAAAAAGATTTAAACTTTTTTTTTAATCTGAATTTTTTCTACTTGTAAATAATGAGCATATTTAATCTTTTTGTTATTCAAACTTTTATATCAACTGCGTGCAATTTTTAAAATACTTTATTAAATGTTAAAATAATCGTAAATTACTTCATTAAAATTCCGCTCAAAAATATACTCAAACAAAAAACTTTTTGCTCGACGCAAATAGCCTTAGCCACACGCAAAATCGCTCTTGGCAATGTAAAATTCACATCGCCCGACGCTTTATCGCAAGGCCTGATATAAAAGTAATATTTTACATTGCATTATGTCTTAAACATTTAAGCAACCATAAACAATTAAGTCGCATTTATTGGTCACTTGAATGTTAAAACATCAACAAAAAATATCAAAAAGAAACTTTAAGCAACATTTGATGGTTGCTTAAAGGGACTACCAAGTCCCGAGATATATTGTGTTTATATTAAAGAGAGTGTTAAAAAAAAACGTCTGAGCAAATTTTTTTTGATTAAAACTAATTAATAAATGTATACCAAGGAAAACAAATCTTGTTGTTTTAGTCGAAGCTCGTCTTCTCCGTTTTCTCTGGTATTTTGAGTATGTAAAATAAATGCAATTTTCCAGGCGCATTATACAGACTTGATAATTTATTCAAGCGCGTTTAATTCATAGGAGTTTTAGTGCATGACGCCATTGCAAACATTCTAGAAATTCTTTAAAAATTTTACTATTAAATTTTACTCAAATAGCTAACTATAGTTACTTATTTTATTAAAAGTTTATTTTATTAATTGTTCGTTAGTTTTTTACCAATCTAACGAACAATTAATTAAACCAAGCACTTAGAAAAGATATAAAAATTAAGAATATACTAATAAAATATATAATTTGTAATTAACTTTCAAAATTTTGACAGTTTAAAAAATATATATTATAAAACATTTATTTTTGTAAACAAATGATAATAGTTTAAAAGTTTTACGGCTTTACAGATGTGGCTCCGTGAATGAGCCATAATATTAAAGTAATAGTTCATTTGATAATATATTCTTAAAAAAGTTTATGATAGATATCTCAAAACGCAACAAATCGTAAATAATACAATTATTAACACATTTCAACAGAATACTCTAGAACTTTATTTCGCTTAGTCAGCGTGTTTTTTGAACCAATAGAATTAGTTTGTTCGCAAATTTGGTGGGTTTTTAGTGTTCACGAATATTCTTTTTATTCTTCCGCAAGATGTTTTAAGAACATTCAAGTTAATTATGTTTCCATGTATGTCTGTAAAATAAAAATTAATATATATTAATTTTTTAATTTTTAAGCCCCAGCCATAATATATATTGAATGTTATAATGGAAAAATAAATAATGAAATAAATTTATAAATAATGAAATAAGATCACCTCAAAACCAAAAAATACATTTTTGAAAATCAGAGAAAAAATGCGTTAATTTTTTTTTTTAATATTTACAAAGTAAATTAATAAAAATGCATTATTATTTAGGTTAAAAATTATTTTATCTAATACTTTGAAAGAAAAACTTATAACAAAAGAAATCAAAATACACGAGGTCTAGACGATTATTTAAAAAAAGTTGCGCAAATAAAATACTATTTTGTTTTTTTTCTTTCTTTTTATTTCTGTTTTTTATTTATTAAATTTTATTTCTGTTTTTAGTTTTATTTTGTTTTTAATTTTATTTTGTTTTTAATTATATTTTGTTTTTAATTTTATTTTACAAACACATTTTAGAACTTTAAAATATAATAATAATGAATATGATTTGGAAATTGTATGTAAAAAATAACAATCGGTGTTTTAAACAAACAAAAAATAAATCTATGACATCATCCACTAAAACTCCTATGAATTAAACGCGCTTGAATAAATTATCAAGTCTGTATAATGCGCCTGGAAAATCGCGTTTATTTTACATACTCAAAATACCAGAGAAAACGGAGAAGACGAGCTTCGACTAAAACAACAAGATTTGTTTTTCTTGGTATACATTTATTAATTAGTTTTAATAAAAAAAAATTTGCTCAGACGTTTTTTTTTAACATTCTCTTTAATATGAACACAACATGTCTCGGGACTTGGTAGTCCCTTTAAATGTTAAAACAATTAAATAGGTGTAAAAAAACACTATGCTTTTATTATTTTTTAAAAATCCACCTTAATTATTGTTAGAAAGTTTCTATTTGATGTTTTTTTCATGATGTTTTTGAATTTTTTTTTTCTTTATTGTGATTGTTTTTTTTAATGTTTTTAAATATTTATATTTTATTTTGGTTTTATTGATGTGAGTGTACATACATTGATTGACTTAATAGGTAGAACACACAAGGAGTATATGTACATCAACTAAATAAATAAGTAGGGTGTGTCTTTTAATTTTTAACTATGCCGTAGTGGTGAAGTGGTAGCTTGGCTCATAAACAAGAAGTTCCGATTTTTATTTTCACCACTTCCCTGGTAGTACTGTGCTTAACTTGTTTTTCCATGCATCGGCTTTGTTTGTTGAAGTTTCTATTTTGCAGTTGTAGAGTTGAGAGAGGGTTGTAACCACTAAAGTAGCCTACTCGATTGTAGTAGCCTTCTGGGCCTTATGCAAGTGAATAATTAAAAAAAAAAATTAATCTATCAATTTAAACAAAAATATTTTTTATTTTTTAACACATTTTTGTTTGATTTATTTCTGTTTGATTTAAAACAACAAAAACCTGAATCGACTGAAGAATTTGTATGATTCAAAAGTTCTTTCAAATTATATGAATTCTAATTAATGTGTAATTTTCTTTCAAATTATCAAATTACTAGTGTTCAACTCTATGTATTTGTTTATATACATACATATAAAATATTCCTATATTTAGGATTACTTGAATTATAAAAGTTATAATTGCACTATAAAGGTAATAACACTACTATAGTTTTTTTTTACTTTTATAATGTGACTAGAGTTAGTGACTAAAGTGTTATTACTTTTGTAGTCGTAAGTTTTTTGTTTTGTTTTTTACAACTTTTTTGCTAACAAATTAAAGTTTTCCCCTTGAAAACAAAGAACACAGTTTTGCATAAACTAAAATTTTTAAGACCTGACATTTTTCCAGATATTGCAAATTGCGATCGTTTAATTCAACCCTTATATGTATATATAAATATATATATATATATATATATATATATATATATATATATATATATATATATATGTATATATATATATCTGGGCTCGAATATATGCAAAAAAAATCTAATCGCAAAGAATTTTTTTTTACTGAATAGTGATTAGATAGGTTTGATCTAATTAATAAATTAAAACGATATCCTCACCTTTTTTTACTTTTTCACACTTTACACATTTAAAACAAGTAAATTTAGCGACAGGTTTTTAATTTCATAGAAAAATATTGTAAATTACAAAAGTTATGATCATGCAAAATTTACACCCCAGCCCTCTTTTTTTTTCTTTTTTCGAGGGGGTCAGTAATTATTACTTAAAAGCTTATATTATGTGTAAACAACATATGAGATACAAATAGAAACATTTGTATGGCTAACTTTTGTGAGTCTTTAAGTATATATATAAATTTGCCATTTTCATTAACAACCTCCCAGACAACATTCCCAGACAACTCTTGCTGCAAAATGTTTGCGGATAACACCATTTTAATAGCACCAATCCTGCCAGGAAACAAAGAGCTTGATACTAAAAAGCTGCAAGATGACATCAACAAGATAAGTTATTGGTGCTGCACTTGGCAAATGCAACTAAATTTTAGTAAATCAAAAGTGATGCACATCATTTTCTGAGCATACAAATCAGTGACACTATGCTAGATCCACTACCAGGCGCAAAAAGAGATCTAACAACATTGATGATAGAAATAGACCTTGGAGTCTATTTCTATCATCGTTGTTAATTATATATATATATATATATATATATATATATATATAAATATATGTATATATATATATATATGTATATATATATATATATATATATATATATATATATATATATATATATATATATATATATATATATATATATATATATATATGTATATATATGTATATATATATATATATATATGTATATATATATATATATAT